TTTCATGATTTTGCAGGGAATAGAGGTCAGAGAGATAGGTCTGTAGTTGGTTGGGTGGTTCTCAAGCTTGCCTGGTTTGTGGATGGGGATAATTGTGGCATGTTTCCACTCTTTAGGGAGGGTAGACGAGCTCCAACTGTAATTGAAAATGGTTAAGAGTTCTAGTTTGGCATGGGAACTGAGGTTTTTCAACATGGGTCCAGTGATGTTGTCTGGACCAGGAGCTTTTGTAGGGTCAAGATGACTTAAAGCTTCATCCAGATCATGCTCTTGAAAAGGTTTACTGAAAATGTTGTGGCTGGGTTTGGATTTTGCAAGGTTTCTGGTGAGCCTAGATTTTCTACCTATTATTTTATCCTGTAAATTAAAATTAAGTTTTGCGGTGGCGCTGTAATGGTGGGCAAAATGATTTGCTATGCTGTATTTGTCTGTGAGGGGATTTCCAGAATTATCCTTGAAGGTATTTGAGCTGCTGTAAGATGGAGGGTCCTGATTGAGGGCATGCAGCAGTCTCCATAGTTTTGTGTCACTGGTTTTTGGGTCAATTGAAGAGTAGAGTTCAATCCACTTATTCTATTTGATTTGGTCGGCCTTAAGCTTAATTTTTGCAGCAAGGTGATTGTAATCTCTATGAGGAGGGTGTTGTTGTTCTCAATGAGGTCTTGGTAAACTTTGTTCCTATCTTCTATTTCATCTTTCAAAAGATCTAGTACCTCTCTGTATCCAGGAATGTAGAATTTTCTGTTTCCTCTGGGGATATTTTGTTTGGCAGAAATTAGGACTGCAGACTTCTAGTTCTTCCACCTGTCTTCCAAAGAGGAATTTAGTGGGATTTTGCTGAGAAGACTATCTAACAATGTTTTAAATGAATTCCAGGAGGCTTTCTTATAGTTCCAGAAAAGTCTTTGTGAAGATTTTGGGAGGGGGGTGGAGATTTCTGTTAGCAAAGGAGATGGTCACTTCCGATGCTTTTCAGGGTGCTGTTTTTATGAACTGTTGCATAGATGGGGAGGTGATGGTGAGATCTAGTGCTTGCGGAGTTCCATAGGAGTGAGAGATGTAGGTAGGACCATGGGACACAATTGTGAGGTTGTTGTCATCAATGAAGGTGCTGAGGATAGAGCCCTCAGTGTTGTTGAGGGAACATCCCCAAGATTGATGCTTGCTGTTGAAGTCTCCAAGGATGAGTATATTGGGGTCAAGTAGGTGTGCAACTAAGTCTAGTTCTGGGCCTGGTTTTTGGGATGGGTGGTAGGTATTCACAATTCTTAGGGGTCTCTGATTGGGTAGGTGTATTTTGAAGGCTTGTAATTCAGTGTTCATTGTTGAAGGAGTGTCAATTTCTTCAAAAGAAAGGTCTTTGATGAGGGTCAGGAGCCCTCCTCCTCCATCTGCTGAAGGTCTGTCTTTTCTCAGTATTTTGAAGCCCCTCACCTTAAAAAGGTGGTTGGGCTTAAGCTTGGTTTCTTGCAGACAAATGATATTAGCACTTTTGGAATCCGCCAGTGATAAAATCTCGTCCAGTTTAACCTTGCTCTTATTAGTAGATATGCCATTGATGTTACATTGAAGAAAATTCAATTTGGCATTGGGAGACTGTAGGGAATTTTTCGAATGAAGCCCTCTGCCTAAACTCCAGACGTGGCCCTGATTATTCTGCGCGACGGCCGATGCAGCATAGTGGGGAGATTTAACAACCGTCATGATTGCGTAAAGTAAAATGCGTCTGCCTTTGTCATTAAGACTGGGAGCACTACTCAGTGGCAGGCCGACTTAGCTCCAAAAGAAATGTCAGCCTCTGACATGAGGAACAGACGCCATGTGCAGCTGCTCCTAACATGGAGTACAAACGCTGCTCATCCTGTATCCCTAGAGCCCTTACAGGGTACTATCAGCCGGGCCAGCTGAGCCCAGGTTTTTAGCGAGCTTGTTACTGCTCCCCCTCCTCCTTTTTCATCCGGGCTTGGGACCGGCAAAGGCGGAGTTCCTAGAATCCCAAATATGTAAACAAAGACTGACCTACTTTGAACACATAATAAGGGCAAATGGTTTAGAAAAGATGTTGATGCTAAGAAAAATTAAGGAAGAAAGAAACACCTGCAATGAGCTGATTGGAAGGGGTCAAGAAAGCTACTGGAGGGTTGGTAGATGAGCTGCGAGTGTTGATCAACAGATTGGAGAATATTTCTCCATATAGTCACCATAAGTTGAACTCTACTTGAAGGAGTCTAACAACAACAACTGTATAATGCAATAACCCTGTTATTGTTATATAATACCAGGCTATAAAAACAAGGTTCCACTATAAAGGAGAAAATTTTAATAAAGATATAGTATTAAGATATCTAGTAAGGTATGTAGTTGCAAGGAACCCACCTCACTTCATACATAATAAAATGGTTCATATAATACATTCGAAGGGCTTTTAAACCCGAAAGCTAGAGATAGAAAATAATAACTTGAAAGAAACTAATTCCTGGGGCCTCTATTCCTTCTTTCATTTTCTTCTTTCTTATCTCCACTCAATCATATTAGGATATCAAGCTTGTAGAGCTTGAGACTTTTGATGGTGTCTGATGGGGAAGAGTAGAGCTCATCAATGGATGAGTCAATACAGTCAATAATGTGTTTTGGGGTTTCAGGTTGAGAATTGCACTTAGTACATAGTGGCAATACCTTGCAACCATTCTGGAAAGTCAGTGTCCATAGATGACCAGACTTTAGTCTGGAAATCAAAGACTGTTGTTCTCCAAGGAGGACAGAACCGGTGCCATTTGTATTATAGATTATAGCTACGATTGTTACCGAAACGTCATTAATTTATTTGGATTAGGTCTTATTTTGTTGTAGATAGAGTGTGATGTAAGTGTGAGGTACTGACCTTCCTTGGAGAAAGGGGAGGCCAGGATGGAATGGTGGAGTGTCTTCACCTCAGCCACCAGTTCCACTATGGCCTCCATGTCCCCGTTCATCTCTTCTACCTACAGTACAGCCCCAGATGGATCTCACACATAGTCTGACAGATGGTACCTAGACTGTACACCAGCCTTGGTGGTTGGCTAGCCTTTATATTTGTTTTCTTTTACTATTTTTTTTTATTATCCCTTTTGTATAATTATACAAGGTCATGGAAACTAAATTCATAGATCAAATTTACAATCTTGGAATATAGGTCCTGTCTTGAGGCTCCCATACATTCCAAGAGGTGGTCTGGTGAAGCCTCTTTGGTCCTACAGATGGTACATTGTGGGAAGGTCTTTACACCATCCTGGAAGAGTCTTGTATGGCCAGTTTTGAACCTGGAAATACAGGTTGCTGCCTGTCGGTTCATCCCATATTCCAGAATAACTCCAGGCTTTTGGTTCAGGTACCTATGATGAATAGTTCACTTCTGTATTTTTGCTTGGATTTTACTTTTTTGTATGCGTTTGAAAGAGTCTTTACTATTATTGTTGTTGTTTCTTATCCCCTTGTGCAAAGATTACACAAATTCCACGAGTCCATTCTCCTCGAACTGAATAGGGTGTAGCTTTCATTTGATCATGGCACCATGATTCATGGCACACTTTGGTAAAAGTCTGACTTTACCTGTGATTTGAGGCGGTTCCTAACATGGAAGCCTTTGCTGCCAACATGAGTACGAACTGTATCCCTGGAGAGGAACCCTTGCTGAGGTCTATCAACCGGGTCAGTTGAACTCAGAATGTTCACTCCTTCACATTCATTCGAAACAATACATTACAAAGTTACACCAAACAATTCGAGCATTGAGAACCACTTGAATTCAACATCTACATTAATTCAACAATTTTTTAAAATTTTTTTTCAATTCAAATCCCAAGCAGGCTCTAGTTTCCTAACTTTTAACCAACTATAATTCAACGCACAGATTTTAATTCAACTAAAAATTCTGATCTCACGGGTTGTTGAATTAAACTGTATATAATCATTCAACTCCGTTAAATGCAACATTGTCATACAAAATTAGTCCCAATTATCAGGATAAAGAGTAAAATTCAGTGTTAAAATCATAGTTGATCCTCAAAACCCTTGTTAAAAAAAAATAAACCTATATATTAATTGATATATAAGATTTAATAGTCACATTGGGGGGGTGGGTGGAAGGCTGGTTAAACCGTTTGGTTTTCGACCACTACGACCCGGGTTCGATTCCCGCATTGGACACTTTTTTCTGATAAAAAAAAAAAATACTCCAATGGCCCCCCATTCTTGCAAAAGTCCAAGCCCACCAGAGAGTGCAAGTATCCAAACGGGGCTCTGGCACATTTGTAAGTGCAAAGTCGAACTGCTTTTCACATATGTAGACATGTGGTGCGCTTACAGTAAAAGCAGTCGCTAACTACCCACCATGATTATCATGGCCTGTACCACGTGTACTAGGAAGCAGTTGCTAACTACCCACCATGATTATCATGGCCTGTACCACGTGTACTAGGGATAAGCAAAAAAAAAAAATGTCACATTTCAACCTTTTATTTATATTTCCCATGTTTTTCAGTGATCCACTGCCACTCTTTTCTAGGAAAAACAAAAGAGGAAAGGAAAGAGTGAAGTGACTATTTTCTTATACAGTAAAACCTCCCTGTAAAAGACACCTAATTGCAGAGCCAAAACTGTCCTTTAGGGAGATATGTTCTCTTACCGGAGAGTTGCTAAATTGTAAAAATGGTAATTTTATAAGTGAAAAAAAAAAGTCCTTTGTGGAGAGGTGTCCACTAACGGGGTGTCGGCTAAAGGGAGATTCTTTTTTTTTTTTGCTTATCCCTAGTACACGTGGTACAGGCCATGATAATCATGGTGGGTAGTTAGCGACTGCTTTTACTGTAAGCGCACCACATGTCTACACATGTGAAAAGCAGTTCGACTTTGCACTTACAAATGCCAGAGCCCCATTTGGTTACTTGCACTCGCTGGTGGGGTTGGACTTTTGCAAGAATCGGGGGCCATTAGGCATTTTTTTTTTTTTAAACAGAAAAAAGTGTCCAATGCGGGAATCGAACCCGGGTCCTAGTGGTTGAAAACCAAACGGTTTAACCAGCCTTCCACTGTATATAAATCCAACCTGCGGACATAAGGATTTTTCCTATATTAATTGGAACACAGTTTTCAAACGACTAACGTGACAGTACCAATACACAGTGTTAACCAAACAATACATACATGTGGTGTAGATGGTGGCAGCAGCAAAGTTGGAGGTTCTTTAATGTTCCAGGAACAAACACAGCGGGGTTAGAACACAAGTTGGAATAATCCTTAGGAAGGAAATGTTACACATTCACATATTTTAGGAAACACAAGGTAAACACAAGGTAATAAGACCAAATCCAAATAAATAAATAGTGTGTGACGTTTCGGTAACAGCATTGTTACCATCTTCAGCAATGTACTTTTCAGTACTTTTGTCTGAAGATGGTAACAACGCTGTTACCGAAACGTCACACACTATTTATTTATTTGGATTTGGTCTTATATGGTATTACCTTGTGTTTATAATCTATAATTCAAATTGTGCCTTATCAATCGAAACACAAGGTAATAAGACCAGAATCAAATAAATAAATAGTGTGTGACATTTCAGTAACAGCGTTGTTACCATCTTCAGACAAAAGTATTGAATGAGAAATTTTACCACAGCATGTTTTAAATAGTTACTGTTATCAAGTGTGTAAACAAGATAGCAGATAAGAAGAAGATAGTTTTCTGAGAAACACAGAATATTGTTCTTATTTCTGAAAACTATCTTCTTATCTGTTATCTTGTTTACACACTTGAGAACAGTAACTATTTTAAACATGCTATGTTAAAATTTTTTATTCAGTACTTTTGTCTGAAGATGGTAACAACGCTGTTAACGAAATGTCCCACACTATTTATTTAGATTTGTCTTATTACCTTGTGTTTATAATCTATAATCCAAATTGTGCCTTATCATATTTTTAAAAAATAAAGTAAATGCCCAAGGATGAGTATCTTTTTTTAATAAAGCTTTTCCGACCTTCGGGATAACGCCCTTCTACAAGAAAAATTTTGATACAAAATGAAACTTAACTATGCTATGGCAAGTTATATGTACATTGTAAACTTTACATAATATCAGCTGCATCTTTTAACCTATTTTAGAATTGATATATTTACATACTGGAGAAAATTTGGTATTTAACATAGGTAAATTATGAGCAAATAGTGTCTATGAACAAGGGTATAATATTGTGGTAAATTTCCGGAATATCACTATGTCTGTTTAATTTACATAATTATTAAATATATTATATTATTAAAAAATGAAAGAAAAAAATAAAAGATAAAAAGATCAGGTGTTGAAATCAATATTAAAAATGGCATATCCTGACCAGGAGCACATGTGCTTTACAGAAGGCAGAGCGCCATCTGGTGGAACAGAAATCAACTAAACATTGATTTAGCTTGTTCCCTGATATTTGGCTAACCCAATTTCTGGATCAGCCTACTCCACGCTGACGAGCGCCAAAAGCGCGAAACGCATTCGTGGATGGCTTTTCTTGATTTATCAAGAAATTGGGTTGGCCAAATATCAGGGAACAGGCTAAATCAATGTTTAGTTGATTTCTGTTCCACCAGATGACACTCTGCCTTCTGTAAAGCACATGTGCTCCTGGTCAGGATATGCCATTTTTAATATTATATTATATGTAAATATTTATTTACATATGTAACTAGGAAGGCACCTCTCCCTTTAATAATTAACATTTACATATATAAAAAGAGAGTCTGTGGAAGAGTGGGTAAAACTGCCGATTCCCGACAGCCATGAACCAGGATCGAATCCTGCATTGGACTCATTGTTTTAATATGTGAATAACCTTCACATATTGTGGCGAAGAAATAATTTATTATTTAATTTTTACGGGGCTCTAGCACATTTGTAAGTGCAAAGTCGAACTACTTTTCACATGTGTGGACAAGTGGTGCACTTACAGTAAAACAGTCGCCTTCTTCAACCCACCATGATTATCATGGCCTGTACAATGTGTACTAGAGATAAGCAAAAAAAAATTATTTAATTTAATTATTCAATGAAAAAATTTAACACAGATTATTGCTATGAATTTGTGAAATCATCATATATGGTCCTTAGCTTGCTTTTTCAATATTCTCCATCGGTAGATAGTTGTTCTTGTTTGATAATTGTCGACTAGTCGTACTGACGTCATCAATAAATACTTTCATATCTTAAGATATTCCAAGACTCAAATTCTATGCTGAAATATTAATCATTGTTGCAGATATCACACACACACACAAAAGCCTTTATTAAGACACACAGGTCTTACAGAGGATTCTCCTTGGGGTTACAAGACGGAGAAACCTATGAAAGTGGGAAATATACAAAGGGATAAAAATGGAAAAAGATTATATAACAGATTATTATTTGAATAATCCTATGGAAAATAAGAAAAAAAAAATTGGAAAATATGGATGGGAGAAGTGGAGAGCGAAAAGAGGAAGGAAAACAGGTATTTACATATGGAACATACATATAATGGAACAAGTCAATTTAAGCTCTTCTGCTCACACAGCACAAGTGGTGTTGCAAATATCATAAACTAGGTTATAAACACAAGGTAAACATAGGTTGTTCTTTTTGAGTGGTACTTAATAAAGTGATTTTGGAACAAGCAAGTAAGAACATATATAAGGGCAAATTTCAACACTAGTGAAGACAATCTAGCCTTTGTTGACATCTTCAAAACATAAGATAACAAGACCAAATCCAAACTAATGAAATGTTTGTTAACACTTCATTAACAGCGTTGTTACCATCATCAGACAAAAGTGCTGAAAAAAAAACACTGTTAACAAAACTTCACAAACATTTCATTAATTTGGATTTGGTGTTGCTACCTTATGTTTCTAAATCTATAATTTGATTTGTAACTTTTCATTGCCATCTTTAATTCACAATGAGGCTGAAAAATATATACACTCATGGACAAAAATTATGGAAGTGGTACATTTTAGTTATATATCGAGATTCAGACAATAACTCTGAAAGATATTACAGTGACCTTTATTGAAGACATACGAGATAACCAAATGTAACAAAATGCCTGTCTCCTTTAAAAAAATAGACAACCAAAGACATCAAAGACTTTCCAATTCCTTAAGCTTTGTACATGAGTGTATATACCTTTCCTATCCCAATAAGGCACAGTTTGGATTATAGATTATCCAAATTGGATTTGGTCTTATTACCTTCCTATCCCATATATAGAAAAAGATCCATTTTGGAGAAGCCAATATGCAAATATTTTGAGACCATATCTATTTGCATATAAAAGAAGAAAAGCTAAGTATATTATGGTATATAGGACTTCTTTGAGAACAGAGTACATATACATGGCATGATCACACAACAATTGAAATGAATATGTTCTATTTTTTTCTTATCTCCACTCAATCATATCAGGGTATCAAACCTGTAGGACTTTTTATGGTGTCTGCTGGAAATAAGTAGAGCTCATAAAAAGAGATTTGACAACCATAATGATTGGGTGAAGTAGAATGCATCCACCTTTGTCATTAAGACTGGAAGCACTACTCAGTAGCAGGCCGACTTATCTCCAATATGAAATGGACGCCTCTGACATGAGGAACAGATGACATGTGCAGTCTCTCCTAACATGGAGAACAGACGTTACTAATTCTGTATCCCTGGATCAGGAGCCTTTACAGGGTACTATCAGCCGGGCCAAATGAGCCCAGGTTTTTTAGCAAGCTTGTTATGTTCCCGTCCTCCTTTATCATCCGAGCTTGGGACCGGCAAAAATAGGTTCCAAAGATTTGTAAAACTGTATAGAGTTTCCCTATTTGACACATACAGAAGTTATGAAACAAATGGTGACATTGTCATAAATATGGGCCTCAGGACAGGTTTTCTACCTCTTTGTGAAAATGCTGGAGATCCCGGATTTTCATGATGTCTGGGTGATGAGGGTCCATGAAGTTGACTGGGGAGGTAGACCCCGGACTCTGGACCCCACCACACCATTTCATCTGATGAACCAGTCAATATTAGGTGTAGTCTTCATACTTTATCAACACCTACCTCTCATGGTAAACGGATTGCGGATTTCGACAATTTAGAAAGAGGGAATCATATATCGCCGCAACTCTTTTTATTAAGGCGATTAAGGAAGCTTTCGGGCAAGCCCTTCTTCAGCTAACTATAGTGTACCCTTGCCTTGAAGGGCTTGCCCGAAAGTTCCTTAATCGCGTTAATAAAAAGAGTTGCGGCGATATATGATTCCCTCTTTCTAAACCTACCTCTCAGCTTGCTAAAAACTAACCTATTACTTATATTTATTTCTTTTTTTTTGGAAATTACAAACAACAAAACGCTTTATAAAGACCTTTTGAGTATTTTACTCTCCAGAGGTAAGATAGACATACATGTGGTAATTGACTCTCCTTTTTTCTTTTTTTTTCAATCAAAATCAAGGATTAGTTCAGTAACCACCACTTCTAGTGATACTCTTCCACATTCAGCTCTTAGTATGAATCCGGGTGTAAATTATGGTAATTTCAGGAATATATATTTATGAGAAAATCCTTTAAAACAAATGACTGCCATTTCCTTAAATATAAATGGTTATTTGGAATATGTATGGTCTGTATATATGAGTGGTGACTAAATTTGAAAAATAAATTTTGTAAAATTTGATTCTTTTTTAAGCGAAGTGTTGGAAAAAATATTAGAGGTGTATAAATGCATCATGAATAACTTAGTTTTGGTTCCGTTATGGCTCTTTTATTTCTGGCCATATTTGACATGCGCAAAGATAAAGTAAAACCAAAACAAGAACTATTTTAGAAAAATAAAGATATACCTGAATATTTTTAAGTTCACGCAAACGATCTTTGACCATTGTATTCATTGTTATGGTTAATGAGTTATATAGATTAAGTATGATTTAGGTGGATGTGAATTTATGTCTGTGTTTTATTTCAAAATGTCAACAAAAATACCCCTTCACATAAGTCTACCAAAAAAAAAACATTGAAAAATGTTGTGTTACCAAATATTTAATAAT